AGGAAAGAGGTAACGTTCTCCTTTCTCTAGTCCCTAGTGTAGGAGCGCAGTGGTGGGAGGAGTGATGGCAGGGAAGCGCCGTGCTCTGGGTGATGGATCTCAGCATCAAGCACGTGACCATGCTATGCTCTCCAGAGCCGTGACTAGAAAACACTGAGTCTGTAGAGTTCCTCTCCGCTGAGCTGTATTTTATTCAGACCACAAGCTAAGAAGAGTCTGGGTCAGGATTTAAACAGTGTAAAGAAATGTTAGCCATTTCCACGGTCAGGATGGACAGTTGCTAGGACTGTGGTCAGGATCGCTGTATCTCCCCATGCTGAGCTCTGCTCTGTATTTATTATGGGGTTGCTTCCCCCAGGTGACTAAAAATGAGAGTCGTTATAGCAGGTGTATGTGTGTATCCTTCCCATACATGCAAATCTAGATCAGATATCAGAACTACATTCAGAACATTTATTAGGATGCCGTACCAGTTAACAGAAAGTTAGGAGGAGCGGTCGTCTGCTGGAGACAAACATTGCATCTGCAAAGGCGTTAAAGTTTCCAGCGTCAGGCTGTTAAGCGAGAGCTCCAGGATCTTGCTTTGATGGTGCCCTCCCGAGGTGATCTTTCAAGAGGTCTAAACCCCTGGATGTCTTTGTGTCTGCTTCCTGCACACGTACAGCCCTTGCTTCAGTAGTGAAGTATGCAAGTGAGCTCTTTGGCTCTTCCCACTGGAGCAACAACCCTTTACAAGTCAATGGCATAGAGAAGGTACTTCTTTTGGGGCTTAAATGGTGCATTTTTCATGAGAGGACTTCTGTTTCACAACAGTGACAATTCGGTTTTTTGCTGTCAGATTTCCCTTCCAAGCGTGTTTTGCTTACGTTTGTGTCTGGAAGGGAAAAGAATTATTTTTCTGGGGGTTTGCTGCCACCTCCCGACTAGAACAAGTGTTGGCAAAACACCTACAAACACCTCACGTTTGCCTGATTGTAAAGCAATTCGTTTTCGCTTTTGAAAATTTTGAGATTTCGGAGTTTGATTTAGCTCTAGATGATAGAAAGCCAAGATCTGATAAAACTGCTTTATAAAGTAAAATATTCTCTTTGAAATTATGTGCCTACAAAGCGTTCAGAACAGAGTGAATTTCACTGTCACTTTGCAATGGAAAAAAAGCATTGTGTTTGGAAACTTTCAATCTTTTCTAGTAACTGAATGAACTTTAAACAACAAAATTGCTAATCAAAATTTTAAAGGCCTGATGGGTTCAGTGTCCAGGTAGAGAACGGCAATCTAGTAGACTAAGCAGAAGACAGCCAACTCAGGCCACTCCTCTAATTTCAGGTAATGTTTGACCTGTCTGAATGTATTTCCTTGTCTCTTTAAGTGCACATATTATCTGATTTTTAGTAGTATTGTAGAATAAAATTAATTTAAAAAAAAAAAAAAGAAAAAATCAAGAGCTGTGCATGGGCACTCATTGCCTACCTCAAAAGTTTAGCACTGTAATTAGACATAGACTCTGTAACAAGTTCTTTTTCACTGCCATTTTCTTTTGAGCTTCTAACTCAGGTCCAGATAGGTGTGAAATAGTGGTGACCAGTGTCCTGGGTTTGGCCAGGACAGGGTTAATTTTCACCGGACTCCAGGAAGGGGCACAGCCGGGGAGTGGGGGCTGACCCCACCTGGCCAAACAGAGCCCGGTATTCCATACCATGTGCC